GGTGTGTCATATTCTCTTGGTCTGATGCACTGCCAAAAATGATCGGTCGACAAAATGGACAAAAATAACTCTGAAGCTCATAGTCCTTGTGCAAAGTTTAACTATTTTCAGTTGACTTCTTCCGATAATTTGTATCACAATTGTTTGAACCTACAGTACCATGAGATCTACGAAGATCAAAGACATCAGAGGTCAAGAAAAGGACGAAAAAGACCAGAAAATGGTGTCACGTCTGCTACGATTTGATGATCTTTTTTACTTTGAATGAATGCTATCCTTGTAATTCAAAGAACGTTCACTTATCACGGAAATCTAATTGGTAAATCACGCATCACGTTCTTGTAAAATAGCAAATTACGCATCACGTTATGATGTCATGTTCCGCGTCACGCGGCTAATTTGGTCTCAATCACGCATCACGCTGCTAATTTTGGGGCGATCACGCGTCACGCAAAAACCCTTTGCCACCCTCTTGTACGTATGATCCGGGAAATGAACTGAATGGTGCAGGGCAGAGAATCTTTGCACGTAGGTTGGCGGATCTAAACAACAAAACAAGCTTAAGTGCTACCATGCTTACCGGTTCTTCGTTCCAGTGAATAGTTATGAAACCGTAATTTAGCTCTGTTATAAATGGATGTGTACGCTTGGATGAAGTAAGAATATTCCTATAGGTAATAAAAAAATAGCAACAGGTACTGAGAATATAAATGACAGGTACAACCCTCTCTAATTACAAAATTACAATTGGTAATAGAGGATCGAACCGAGATCGTTTCCTCCAAAATCGATCTAAGTTATTGATTTCGTCATTGTTATTTTTGATTTTTGAACTGCCCATATCCTTCAATCATTTCTCGACTAGAGACTGCGGATAGGAAATTGAGAAACGAACAGTAGTTTTCAAGGCATTACAGGGAAGATTGTCGGTGATAAATCTCTTTTCATTTCGAATCTCGCCTGATTTCTGTTTCGCTAATTTATATAATATGCTGGGTCAAAACCCTGGACGACAGCAATGAAAAAAAAAAAAAATAATAAACAAAAACAATAAATACTTGNCCTGATTTCTGTTTCGCTAATTTATATAATATGCTGGGTCAAAACCCTGGACGACAGCAATGAAAAAAAAAAAAAATAATAAACAAAAACAATAAATACTTGAAAAAAAGGGAAAAAAAGGAGTAATGTGCGTTGGCCGGGAATCGAACCCGGGTCAACTGCTTGGAAGGCAGCTATGCTAACCACTATACCACCAACGCCTCGATATTCAGTAAAGTTATTATTAAGATAGACAATTTCTCTTGGCAGGTTATGATTCGCGATTCGAAGCCTTCGAACGTGAAAACAATCGCTCGCTGTAAAGATCGCCGAATTTTATTGTATGTTCGACGTCGACATTCTACAATTTCTGAGTATTTCAGTGGCTAAACAAATCTACGTTTAAACAAAGTCGTTTTGTATTTGGACCAGCATTTATTGCGTGACTCGTCGGCTCACGCCAGGGAATTTGGTCTGGTGTCAACCTCAACAAGATAAGACTCCATTGTGTTTTGTACTGCTTCCGTGAATGGCCCCTTGTATGTTTTGAAGACAACCTTGTCTTCACGTATTTTATCGTAGCAAGTCAAATGCTCATTTATTTTAACTCGTTGTAAATTCGTCGATGATGGTAAACTAATCAGTTTCCCGCTGAACAAAGCAGAAATCAAATTTTCCTTTGTGGTAAATTTAACGCACAAAAAAGCGTTTTTTTTCCGGGAAAAAGTGCAAGCGTTGTGTAATAAAAATGAGAACACGTGACGATATAGGCTAGACTCGTAGTGTTCAGTGTATGTAGTCTGGCTTCCAGGGCCAAGTTGTTCAAAACCCAATTAAGCTAACCCAGGATTAGGGAGAATTTTGACTTGACTTTGTTAACTTTGCGGTAAGGTTTTCTGTTTATATTGTTTGCCTTTCTGTTTTGAGTTTGAATAATCTCCAACTACACAAAAAGTTAACCAGTGAAAAACATTTGTATACAAGAAAAAATTATGCTTCGGTTTACTTTTAATACCGGGTTAGTGTTAACCGGTTTCCGATCAACCCGACCCTGGAGTTTTCACTTGTGAATCAGCCAACCAGTTAATCGGAGTGCGCGAAAATTACCCGCCCAAGGAGGTGAGGTGGGAGAATACAAAGTCTAGCAGGTCAGAGGTTCATTCGATCTTAATTCATACTTTTGAAGTTAGAAGATCAATCCCAAGAGATTAAGATGGTATTCAAATGGGATATTTTCAGTTTGAGTGGCGCGAGACCAAGCGCGTTTTGGCTGTGGGAAACCACGTGACGCAAGGACCAAGATGGCACGATCTGGAAAATGATTGACATATCTGTACAGGTGTTGGTATCTGGAGTATTTGTACTATACTTACTCCAGAAGCCAGGTACACGTTGCTGTTGACAACCATGAGACACACGTGGCTGTCAATCCACTGGATGTTACTTCATAAAGCGGGTATCCTGAAACAAGTCCAGAACAAATTAATAAAGTTAAACGATAACAGCGGGAAACAGACAGATGCAATGCCTAATACACAGTTCATTTTAAAGGCTGGTTTTCACTAGGTCATAGGCATAAGCACAAGTAACATAGGCGGACGCTGAAACGTTGAGTAATTAGCGCCATTTTGTAGAAAATGACCAGGGTTGCCACCACCGGAATAAAGAAAATTCCTGACTTTTCACAGACTTTTCACTAACGGTAAAGCAATTTTCTCTGGCCGTGCAAGATGATTATTCTGGCCATGAATCAACAAAAAATGGATGGTTAATAGATAATTTCTAAAGAAAATTTCCTCGCCTATGCGACATTTGTCTGATATTGAAGTTGTTCAGAAGACAAGCACCTATGTACACAGCAGGGCTTTTTTAGTCATTTAGTACACGGCAAGGTTGATATTCAAATGAAACAACAAATGCTCTTTCAGATTTCGTTAGCAGCTGGATAAATGAATTTTAACTGCACCTCAGCTAGGTTCGAAGCGCAATAAACAACTCCTTTCAAACCTTTCTATTTTCACAAAAAGTGGAATTTTGCTTATTACGCGTTGTGCAATTAGGCTCCATTCTTAGTCAAATTGACTTCTTTTTAAACCGAAAACCTTACCCGTGCTCGTGTTATTCAAGCAAGCAAACTCTCCAAAATGGACATCTCCACTAATAAGAATCACCTATACAAAGACAACGAGGACAATGGTCAGAAAGACTGCAAAAATAGCTGCAAGATCATCATCGCTTTTTACATACAGTCGACTCCCGATAACTCGATCCCTCGCTAACTCGAACCTCCCGCTATCTCGACGTAATTTCCATTTCCCCTTAGGCCACTTTCTATATAATTTTTATTTTTACTCTCGATAACTCGAACTTCCGATGACTCGGACCTTTTTCTATTTCCCCTGAAGGTTCGAGTTATCGGGAGTCCACTGTAGTTTCATTATGTCTGGAATATACCAAAAAATTGCCGTTGCCAGACCTCTCTGTTCGCTTAATACAGTGATACGGGAATTAACAGTGAAGATTCAATCGAGGTCCACTGAGCGCTTGGTGCCATTGTACTAAAAGCGGGCGCTCAAGCTATTTTCTCTTTCTCGAATGAACACAGTCACATACTTATGTGTTACGTGAACGGTGGTTAAAACTTAAATTTCAGCACAACAAATCCTAGCATCTACTGAGATTCTGATTGAAGATTGAACATAACTCGCGAAAATTGCTCTGGGGAATGAAAGATTTTCTTTTATTCCAACCAATAGAGAGCAAGAATAAACCAATTAACCAATGCAGTTGTACAGGCGTTTTCCCGCGCTTGGCACCCGCTGCAAAGTTTTCTTGGAGTTTATGATTGGTTCATTGGGTTACGTGCATTTTTGTGATTGGCCAGAAGGAAATCCTTTGGTTCTGATATGTGGAGTTGTTAGTACGCGCCATCCAAATCGATCCCAGTTTTGATTCTAAAAAATGTGTGACCTGGTGGTTAACACGCCTATGATTCAAAATCAAGATCATTCACGCCCTTTTTCCCCGTTCTGCACCGATGGTGTTGTTACAAATAGTGAAATAGACATGACACTTCATAGAGGGGGCAACTTATAGTTGTATATTGTTATACTTACCCTTGGATTTCTCTGTAGGAGCCACATCAAACGATCATAACTTGAGGGACAAGAAGTCCATCTGTCTGTGTATGGCATGTCTGATAAGACCTGTCAGTGGCAGAATAGTCATTTGATAAAAAAGAGGTTAAATGAAGAAATAATCTTTGTTGTAGCCCTGCTCCCTACCTTAATTAAAACCAAACAGAAGTCCCTGAGGTTTTCAGACAATATAGATACCCTTCCTTGGGAGCACGCGTCTCTGAATGACAGTCAACGAGCGTTAGCGAGATGAATTGACTGAGTCCTTATCAGCTATCATCAGCATGCAGTTAAACGAGCCGAGGATTCGCGTCAGTTGACATTAGTGGCAGTTTGAATTCTCCTGAACTGAACATATCGCTGATCAAGGTTTACACGCACGATGTATGGAGCATGAGCAGTCTATACGCAACCTCACAAAAAGCACAATGACACTGATGTATGGGCAGGGCAAAATCGTGTTAAGTGTTTATTTCCTCGTTCTTTAATCCATTGACCACGGAGCTGACAGTCCGGGAGAACCGACTATCAGTCCGGGCGAAACAATGGCAATTCCTCTGACGTTCCGGGCTGTAGCGCGCTCGACAAGAAAACGACTTCTAAGTAGGCTGAGTCGGACACTCCAGCTTAATTACTACAGACTACAGAGCTATGAAGGACAATTGTTCAACGTTTACATTTTACCTGAATTCCACTGCCAATGATAGTCAGCCTAGGCGGGTTAGGATCATTCAGTTGCCTCTCGAGCCACGCCCATTGCTCTGTTCCTAGAATGTCACAATCCAAGCCCCACTTGAGATGTGACCGTGTGTCGAGTAGAATTAACTATGAGTAAAAGCACAAAGCCTTAAAACATAAGCAGACTAAAGGAGTTCTAGATTCACAAGGAAAATGTTTGGGAAAACCTTAAAAGAGCTGTGGAAATACGCGCCTGTGGATTTATCACATCATTTCGCGTTCTCACAAACTGACTTATGCTTTACGAAAAATGTTATCTATTCATTTATTTCTAATTACAACATCAGTGCCGTAAAACCAAAACCAAAGTAATTAAAGCGGTTTTCATTTGAGTGTCGAAAGTAATTAGACAATTACTTTGGTTTTGGTTTTGGTTTTACTACGAATTGAGATTGGCTGAGTAGTCTAACTGGTAAGTAATTGGCTTGGTTTTGGTTTTACGACACTCAATTGAAAACCGCTCTACTTTGCCCAATCACAAAGAGTACAGGCAATACAGTGAACCAATCAAAACTCGACGCAAATACATGCAGCTGACGCAAAGCGCGGGAAAACGTGTGCGAACGCGTCACGACTGGTTTTGGTTTTACTTCTGATTGGATGACAAGGTGGCGTAAGTATCCTTAGCCAATTGCGTAGCGTAGTGAGTGCTTTGGTTTTGGTTTTACGAATCTCGTTTGAAAGTGGCTCTTAACAAACTACATATTAGGTTCCGTCCACACTAAGCCGGAGAAATTTGAAAACGGAGGTTTCACTCTGAAAACGCATCAAATGTTTTTCGTCCACACTACGCCGACTGAATTTACAAAAACGCGACAATCACCGGTCATTTTGGATTTAGTAAAACTTGGGCAAGGAAATCACATGATTATCGTAAACGTCATCGTTTTCAAAAAGCTCCGCTTTCAAAAAGCTCCATTTTCGTGACGGATTAGTGTGGACGGTAGGCCTAGCCGTAGAAATAAAGCTGCGTTTTCCAAGTTATCCAGCACAGAGTGGACGCGGCGTTACACGTGTATGCAACGTATTATAAAGCTACCTTCACGCTTTTACTGCCACTCCCAAAGCTGTATGACACATACGCGCCTTCCCTTCTTCGCCGCAAGCTCTCTGTTGGCTCATCCAGGAAGTCTAAATAAATGCCTTGAGCCTGAAGACGATCTCCGTAATGCTGAAAAGTTCAACAGATTTGCTTGTTCATGTTGTGTTATACAAGTTTCCTTTATGTCTCATCTCCACTTTACTTTAAGTTCTTTTCTTACGTTTTTTGTAATATTCTTTTGTGTGACAAACCACAAGAGATGCATTTGAAAGGCACGGCTGCATTGTCAATTACCCTGATACTCACAATGGGTACAGGATCAATCTGTCAAGCCTTTTCTTGGATTTGGTAAGCTTAAGGACTTCAATGTTCCTTCCATAGCATAAAGGATCATACTAACCAATTGTATGACACATATTGATTTTGTTAGCAGAAGAATATATACCAGGGTGAGTACGAGGCAGCAAATCATCAGCCAGTCTTGTTTAAATGGCAGTGGAATTATGATATCTAGAAGCCACGCTAATTTATGTCTGTAGACAGAAAGCAATGCTTTTGCCACTTGTGGCATCATCACTTCTTACAAGATGGCAGGTTTCTGATCATTAGGTGATGGAGTAGGAAAGGTTTGTCGTGCCTAGACAAGTACGATGGGAAAAATTGGATCAGAGATACACTACTGCCAATAAATCTTTGAATTTGCGCTTTGGGAATGTAAGAAAAATTGACCCACCCCACCATTGAGACACTTTTCCTAAAATAAGATATCCCGGCAGAGACTGAAAGGCCAGGAAAAAGTGGAAGAGGGTGTATGAAAAAGAATGAGGAGAATGCTTAATGCTAAATGCTAAAAAAGCCTCAACTGGTTTATCTTGAAAGTTTGGCTTTGTGTGCCTCCTTAATTGTGTTAAGTAAACAGAAATGCTAGATTTTATGTTTCAAGGTGGCCTTTGAGAGTTCAGCTTCAATCTTGGGTACCAAAATCAGAGATGACAATAAACATCTTTGCAGTTAATTTGTTGTTTGGGGACAGGGTTAAAAAGGTGACAGAAATACCAGGGTACAGTTCACAAGTTGAAACTGAATTATTAATAACAAACCTTTCCTCCATTATTCATTCCATAGTCATGGTCATCCCAAACACCCAACACCTTAACACCACTTCCCAGGAAATCCTATTGGTTTGTTGATAAACAACAACAAGAACAAAACATATGTCATTGATTAAGTGAAATCCATAATTATATTACAGTACACAGTTGCGACTCCCTTTTCTTGAACTGACACAAAATAGCAAAGGCACAAAACAAATAGGTCAGCAATAATAATTATGAAATGATTTTATTGATAAAACATGTATGTATAATTAACATGATGATGGAATGTACATTTGTAGATGTAAATTGTGTCATGTTGATATGTGATCAATGTGGCAAAAACAGTTTTCTTTGACCTTGTCTGATAATCATGCAGTTTCCATTATTTTTTCGGCTGATACACTGTACATCAATTGCTCATGAATTAATTATTATAATCAATTAACTAATCAAGTTATTGATATCAAACCTGATATTCTGGAGAGTACTTCAAGGCATTGAATTTTTCTACCATTTCACCAAGAGGAGAAGGTTTCCACATAAGTGGAACTATTTTAGTGTCAGCATATACAGCTGCAAAAACAATGATATTGACATGGAAAATAAGAATTTGTCAGAGGTAATACAGTATTATTATGTACATTAATATACATGGCAGTTTGACCATTAATTTCTAAATAAAGAAATGTAGGTCAAGTGCTAACAAAGAATACATACCATAACATTCCAAAAGTGACCACCTCCCGGAAGTAATGGCAAAAAAATTGTGGTTGCTCACAAATCCTACAAGAAGCGACCCCCCCCCCCCCCCCCCTCAAAAAGTAGCGAGCCCAGCCCATCCCATTACTCCAAAAATAGTGAGACCAAGGTTCAACTTACAGTATATATTAATTTTTCCAATGAGTCAGTAGTCAAGTGAAAGTTACATAAGGTTATCGCACATGTACATGTAGCTTGATAATGATGATTTTGGCACTCGCATCAAAGGAAGGTATCACTTAATTTATGTCACAAAATGTTGTTAAATAGTGAGTGATGAATGATAGTAAAGATGACTTGCTTTCATTGTCTTCATTTGATACAGGGTAGGGAGTATCAGAAGCCAGTAATGGGGAAACATGCACAAGGATGAGTGATGGTGTAGTGGGACTAATAAGTTATTTGTGGTAAATTCTTCTCGTGTTTACTAACAAAAGCAAAACATGTAATGTTCCTTGAAATCACTTGAAGGCTTCAGCCTGTCCTACATGTAGTAAGTTGCATGGAAAGAATGAACAGGGGAACAGGGGAGACTTGATAGATTGGTTAAAATAAACACTTCAAAACACCAATAGACCATTTAATTAATATCACTTCACAGTTTTGGGAGCCAACTTGTTAAGGCAACATAAGTCAGAAATTACTGCATGTCTGTATGGGAATCTGGAGGCAAATAATTTTCTTAAAACTTGAATTCTGAAGAATTTATGAATAGCAAAGTTAAGATACTAGACAAAGGAGTGCATTCACCAAATTCAAGGGATGTAGCTGCACTGTGCTGCAAAGCGTCAATTCGCTTTTTGTTTTTGATCCATTAGTGATAAATAGTATGCAAACTTGTACATGGCTTACAAGTTTCCCATATTTGAACTCAGATTCCCATACAAACACTGTAATTTCTGACATATTGCCTACCTGTTAAGATGACTTCCAAAACCTTGATAAGGTCTATCACAGTTTCACTAAGCTCTTCTTTTAAAATATTAGGAAAGAGGGAGAAGGCATTCTTCAACTTTTTATATGTGAGGGGCTGCAGCCACCAAGTGATTTCAAGGATTTTTTGGTTTTTAAGTTTTATTGGTGGACATATAATCATACCGTCTCCAAGCCAAACCCATAAATCTGGGTGTTGATCAGAAATATGTTTCCACAGTGGTTGAGGTCTCTTGGGAAAACTACAATTACAATACAAGACAAAATGACTTCCTTTGTTCACGGCTAGTAACACGAGGGGAGAATTACCAAAAATACAGTTACAATTAAATAAATATAATTAAATATTATAAACTTAATTAAGCTTATTATAAATGAAATCCAAACATTTCTCAAATGACAAGACCTGCAGGGTTTTAGACACCTGCATATGGGCTTTTTCCATGCCAAAAGAGCTATCTGTAAACACTGCGGGCCTTCAGTGCTTTTCCAAGCGCTTTCCTAGTATAACTTCGTACAGTAAAAGGAAAATCATGAAATAGCGAAAGGCATAGTTGTTGAAAACATTGCGGAAAAAGATGGCACAATTGGTGACGCCATTTTGTGTGTTCATCGTTCATTTTACCTGCAGCTTCCGAAAGCAATGCGACTAACTGTAGTTTCATTGTAGAAATCTGCCACTGTGATATCGTTTCCACTAGAAGTAACTAGCTGTAGATACCCTGTATTAGCGATAATTACTAAAGAAACCAAGATTCCCAGCGACTTCCCGTTCGACATGACACTTCCGTTACGTACCGGCTTTCCTCCGATGTACAGTATTTTTGGTCAGCTGTCTTCGCTCAAAGGGTAATATACATTTTCGGCCCATGATCGGCTTACTTCGTGTCACTTCGTATCTGTTTCGCATTTTCAAGATTTCTAGTGATAAGCGCAAATCAGGCTTCTTCAGAAAGTGTAATTCCTTAAAGTACAAAGATGCTTTTATTTCAAGATTGTTTCATAGAACTGAAGCCTCCGAGAAAATAGCAAGCTTCTGTTATTGACAGTCCTGGCTCCTCGGACTGTATCGGAAGAAGTCGATATCTTCTGGCACTTTTTCTTCCGGAAGGTACTGACGTAATACTAACTCCAAATATAGTAGTCTGCGTGAAAAAGTTCTTTCCTTTTACCTTTGAATTTGCGGCGAGTTATTTAGGTCCTTAGCGAAAAATAATAATGTCTCAGACTATACAGATGAATCGTGGAATTGTCAAACAGGTAATACAATGACAATCCGTTCTAATTTTAAAGTTTATTATACGTCGAAGTACTTTAGATGCTTTGAAATGCCACGTTTTGCATTAATTGAGAAACCTCTACCCGTTGACTGGAATCAATAAACTTGAGTTTGCTGTTATATTTTTTTTCTCAACGAAGGTTCTTTCGGGAGATAGCGTCGTAATACGTGGACAACCCCGAGGTGGGCCTCCCCCTGAAAGACAGTTGTGCTTATCCAATGTAAATGCACCGAAACTGGCAAGAAGATCTAATCCAAATGTGGAGGGAAGCGTCGAAACACGCGATGAGGTTTGTTACATTACTACATTGTTGCGCGATGCGCTCTGGTTTCTGTGGCTTCTTACCCGTTTTAAGCTTTTTTCTGTGTGTTTATTCCGTTTAATTGTATGGTTTCTGGTTTAAATCTTTCATTCTATTACAAGTGAACAAGTTGCTTCGTTTAATGCGTTGCTTGTGAGAAAAAGATACCTTGTTTTGTTCATTTCGTTATGAATGACTTTCCAATGTGACCAATCGTATTCGGTTACGTGCCGCAGTCTTTTGCTGTTGGCACGAGAAATATCTGTTGTGTATTACTTTTCAAATTAGCAAAGAAATCACGGCACATGCCGTTTTTCACGAAATTGACGAATAATTTGATTCTAACTGTAAGATGAAAGACCGTAAACTTAAAATATTATTATTATTTCAATAACTTCGAAGATCGCCCTTTGAATCCCACATGTGGATTTTTAATACCAATTTGTCCTAATGATCAGTTATTTTCCCTTTTATGGATTTTCTAGGTATCTTTATATACTTATTTACTTATTATTCTATAGATTAAACTGAATTAATATTAGCTGAGATTTTGTAATATTTTTCACAGAAAACACAAAGAATATATTTTGTTAATGAAATCATGTTCCTTGGCATCATTTTTACAAATGCCTATTTGTATTTTATTTCTAATTTTCTTTTGTAACAAAATGTCCCAAATTTTAAGTTCATCAGTAAAATCAGTACATTTACAGCATGCCAACTTTTCTAAGCGTAACTATAAGAATTATCATATATGGCTAGCTCTGTGGGCGGGCAAAATGAACCAGACCTTCCACTGTGATTGGCTCTCTCTGGACTACCTGCAGTGTCCTGCAAGAAAAATTGTCCCTGAAAGCCATATAATAAATCGTTTATTAACCAAGCTTGTTCGGTCAAGATGGCTGGATATTGACCTTGTTCTTTTTTCTTTTTTTTTTTTGTGAGTTAATGCACCTCGACTCTGTCTCGGTCCATAAACATGGACAAGTGAATTTAGCCAATATCCAGCCATCTTCACCAAACAAGCTTGGTCAATAACCCCCATGTATTTTATAAACCATTTTAGAAATACAAATGTATATTTACTGACTTTACTTAAGTCTTGTTTATACTAGCAATGGTCGTACTCATGCTAGAGACATTTTAATAGACCATATTCATATTCTCAGTATTGGACTAGAACTCTAAGCTTGCATTTTATGAAACTCTATTTGCATTTGAAAAGACTCCCCCGCATTAACCTCTGTTGTAAGCTAGTTCCAGTTCAATACCAGGAATACGAATATGGTCTAGTGAGTGGTCTCAAATGGCTAATATACTGTAAAAACAGTCAACAAGACAGATACATTTGGTGTTGTCAAGATGCATAAACAGATGGCTTTAGTATCTCAGATGTTAAATGCGTCTAGTATAAAATTTGGATACCCTAATGGGCACATTGCATTTAGCCCTTGGCTTATTATTGTCAAATTGGTGTTCTATTTCTCCAGAAATGAATTGAAATGTATATGCAAATGTTCTTTACGTTATGTGTTTAATTTGGATATGTTTACCTTTGCCAAAATGGGAGAGACCTGCGGTAATGTTTAAGATTAATTAGTGTAATAATATTATCTGGGAGAGGTTAGTCCTGAAATCCTTATTGGAAGTTGTCATCAACTTCACATGAGGATGCCTTCTACTCAACTTGCTGAAATGGCTGTCAATAGGTGATCACAGTAGGTGATCACAGTTTAGATGATCTACTCAATGATACCCCTGGGCTAAAAAGATTATTTTTACAAAATAAATTGCATGTACATAGCTAACAACAGTGCTCTTTGTAGAACAACCCTTACTCAGGTGATCACAGTACAAACCACTGATCAATGCTCCTGGGCTCAAAACCATTACTTAACACGTACATGATAGATGAACGTGTTACATAAATGGACTCACAGATAATTCAGATAATACCACAAGACAGTACAGGTACATGATTGCAACAACTGTGATTGGGTATTCAAGGCTAGACTTTACAAGGTGATTGTTAAGTTTAATTTTTAATACTTGGTCTTTGGATTGAGTGAGTTTGGATTGAGTGAATTGCATCATGAAATGTATCAAAGATCAATACAGTGGAATCCTGTTAATACGGTCACCAGCGGGCCATGAAAATTTGACAGTACTAACGGGGTGGCTGTATATACTGGGTAGGATAAAATTTCATGGTCTCTAAACAACTGTTCTCTAACGGAGAAGGTCACTCCAAAAAGCTTACTTTTTTGGTCTTCACCTATAGCAAGTAAACATTCAGCTTTTCCACTCACCAAAGTTTCAGCCTCTCAAATGGCCATTATCCAGAAGAAATTCGTCTCAAAAGAAGCGATTTTGGAGGCCGCCATTTTGAAACTGTCTTGGCAGCCAGGCCTGTTCATGTGACGTCATTCCGTCTGACTCAAAATTGGTGGGAAGGAGAAAAATCTGCAACTGACTTTGCATCCTTTACAAGGTCAGCAAAATACTTTTCTTTTTACAAATGATTATCCACTTCGCTATCTTCAATGCTATCATTTTGGAGTTTGGAGCATGTTTGGCTCAAAATAATATGGCTCAAGAGCAACCGTAACCCATCTGGAGTGGTAGTTGAAAGGCTTGTTGGAAGCCATTTGGACAAAATCTCTTGGATGGAATGACGTCACGAAAACATGGCCTGGCTGCTGAGTACTGTTCAAAATAGCAGCAACGATGTCAAATTTTGGGCTTCTTTGGAGACAAATTTCATAAGGAGAACCTGCACTTTAGAGGCTGAAACTTTGGCAAGTGACTAAACTTAGTGCAAGGTTTTTATTAGCGTTGACAAAAAAATATACATTTTTTGGAGTGACCTTCTCCTTTAATAAGCATTCAAAATGCAGGTAGGATTTTTAAAGTAGTTGAAACTTTAATCAGTACATACATTAATGTCAATGGAAACATGAGCATGGCTGGTTCAAGTTGCTGTGTTAACAGTGTAACATTATAGAGGATTATACAGTTTGGGATTTCAGAATGTGGCTGTTGGTCATGTTGACAAGGTGGCCGGATTAACGGGAACAAAAACCACTGGCCATACTGTAATAACCAGGTGACCGTATTAACAAGGTGACCATAAGGTGGGATTCCACTGTACATGTATGTGTGAAGCGTACGTAAAGGAGAGATTGACAATCTTGTACATTGGGAGCTTATATTTAGGCAAGCACTAAGTACTGCAGCTCAGTAGATTTTCACTAATTTTAATTAAATTTATTTAACAAATTTGGTTTTACACTTAACAGCCTTTTGCATGGGAAGCTCGAGAATTTCTCAGAAAGAAGTTGATTGGCAAAGAAGTATTATTCTCTGTGGAATACAAAGTTCCTGGGACAGGACGAGAATATGGATGCATCTATTTACAGAAAGGTACAGTACATTCAATCAACTTTCATAATTAAAAAGTCATAGTGCATTCTTTTTTAATTAAATTATTAACTAAACAAAAATACATGTACATGTACCCAAATGTAAATTATTCATTCACTGCTTATTTTAATTAATTCCATGTTTTCATTTGCATGAAGAGATTAGGGGTTGGGGGAACAGAAAATAATTACATGCCTGTATTATTTCAACATTGTCAGTGTCCTAACATGGAAGATCCAGTGGTCAATTACGCTGGACTCCAGGTTGAGTGGTCCGGATATAGGGATGTGTTGTGTTCTTGGGCTAGACACTTTTACAGTGTATTACTTGTACAGTAGTGCCTCTCTGATTTCTGCCCAGGTACATAAATGGGTACCAACAAATAGCTAGGTCAAGCTGAGAGAATGTTGGGGAGAAGCCTGTGATGAACTAGCATCCCATCCAGGGGGGAGCACTAATCATACTGCAAAGCCCAAGTTACATGTACATGTAAGCACTAGTAACATACAGCTATGAGCTCAAAAGGCTTTACTTATTATCTAGAATTTGTTTTTCAAATATCATTGTCTTGTTAGGAGATGAACTTGAAAATGTAACAGAAGCTATAGTTTCTGAAGGACTTGTGGAAGTCAGACGTGGGGGCATCAAACCATCAGAGTAAGCCTTGTTTGAGCGTATGAGTATTTCATGATATCACTTTACAATGTAGTACTGTACACGTAGTATTATAGAGACTGTACTTTCAATAGACCCTGTATGTTGTACAAATTTTCAATAAACAGCAGTTGAAAAAAAAAAAAAGTTTCCCAGAGTGGAACCTCTTGAAAGTGACTGTTCACTATAATTATACAGCTTGTTAATAATTAATATACACTTGTCAATTTATATATATTTAATATATTATACTATTTTATTGTTGTTTTGATTAGTGACCAAACAAAGCTAATTGACTTAGAAGAAATGGCAAAAACAGTTGCAAAAGGAAAGTGGGCTGCTGATACCTCAGATGTGAGTATTTTACCTTTCTTTAGCATAAAATGTGGTGGTGCGGATCCACACAATTTGCTAACATCTGCGTCCTCCGTATCATCAGAGCTTTTTTCTGCATAAAACAGAAAAATTGTACCATACATGTATTAATGATAAAGCACCTGCCTTACAACCCCACAAGCCAAAATTCCAAAGAGATTGATTATTTCAAAGTAGCTTTTCTTCTAAAACAGCGACGAAAACACTCCATTTCATTCTTGACCTCCTGAAATTAGCCTCCAGGCGTTTCAACCTTTTTAGGCGAAGAGCCTGGAGACTAGTTGCGTTGAAAATGCCTAGTTACTAAGCTACGGACATTCCACAAATGCAACAATGAATTCTGCATGCAAAATGGCCACGTAAAATGAGCCGAAATGCTATGGAAAAACTGTGTAAATGAAGAAATACCTGTTAACAAATACCATTAAAAGATCAAGCTTTTGTCAAAGTTGACAAAAATGATGGGCATTCTATTAAGAGCTTAAATTGTGGGTAAGACTTTGAAGTGCTTTTTGTTTCACTGTTGTTCAGACTTCATCATCAATTTTGTTAAGTACTCAAATTTCTGTATAATCCAGTCTGTTTTCCGCTTAAATCAACACATTTTTCTGCATTTTTCTCCGAAAATTTCCACATAATTTGTTATTTTTCTGCACCCTGTCAGATGGCATGCATATAGTGAATGCAAAAATGCTAAGAATCAGTCAAATTCTCCCAAAAGTTCCCTTGTCAGTGGCAAATTGAACAGAAAAAAAAACTATTAAAGTACATGTACATGACTGTATGTTAATGTATCATGTTTTATATGTATATCAAATTATAGCACATCAGAGAAATCACATGGAATGTGGAGAACCCAAGACATTTTCTTGATGCCAATAATGGAAAGGAATTTAATGGTAAGCATCAGCTTTATGATAAATTTCTTCTTAATTGCATTTAAGGTCATTCCCCGAAAAAGAACGCACAATAGATTTTCATTCAAATTTTGCTTTTTGGCTGCTTACAGTATATCAAGAGAACTGAAATTTTGAAATAAAAAGGGGGGTCCCGGTATTCGTTTAGGAACAGGAAGACCCTCAATAAACCCAATAATTTCTTAAATTATCTTCTTTTAGAAACGCTTATACTTGAACAACTCACTTTATGCTTTGTGAGAGCAGAAAAATAGGGGGAAAGTTTAGTGAGAAATACAACTATGGATGTATTGCATCAATGTTAAGGAGCAATTTGATGTACGTTTCATGATAAAGGTACCTATATTTAGTCGACAGGGATTCAACTTGTTCCAAGCACGCAGTGTTCTTGAGGGCACATCTTATTGTTTACAAGTGCTTGCTATGCTCTCTTTTTCAGTGATAATTTGTTACTCTGCAATAGAAATTGGTCTATATTCACTGTATAGAAAGTAGGTGATCGCTGCATTCAAACTAAGTAAAAAAATTGTTAGGTCCCCGTACTCATTTCCGAGAAAAAATGATCATTTGTCTCTTGCAAGTGAAGTCGTTCAGAAAAAGCCACCATTTTGTATGTGCATGCGCTTGCGAGCACACACTAATGACGCGAAAATCGTGTGCAGTAGGGATGCACAATGCAATTCTGAGGAATAACCTGAAGAGTATTATGGAAAGGTTGTATTTACTATTTATTTAACATACTAAACATATTTTTATGTGTATACTTCACTTCCCTTGTTTGATCAACTTGAAGAAATTTTTCCTTTTAAAGAAGTTCACTTATAAAAGATTTGCCCATACAACACAATATTGCAATATGGCATACACATGTAAATATGCAGTAAATAATTTTATATCTTTATTTAATTCTATAGCTGTTATTGAACATGTTCGTGATGGTTGCACAGTAAGAGCATTTTTACTGCCAGACTTTTATCACGTGACAATTATGATTACAGGAATAAAGGTATGTTGATCTCTAAAATTGATATGTGCTGTACAGAACTTTACAGTCTGATGTAGGGTTCCCCCCAAAATTTGAAGTACACCCAGACAATTAACTACTGAACAGCTGTACATGTATGTACAATGTAGGTACATGATGATTGTTTTCTACAGTAACACATTTTCAATTACAGTGCCCAATGATCAGACGCGAGGGAGACAAAGAAATTCCAGAGCCATTTGCTGACGAGGTAATCACCACGTACAATTATTTTCAGCAAATTATTTTTTCATTTTTGTGCCAAGAACACTGTGACGAGAATTGTTTGTTTCTGTGCAGCTTAATATTATACCCTAGGTTCCAGAGGTTTTTCTTGTGCGATTTCTGGTGTCGGTCATTTCGGCAGCCAAAGTGAATCGAAGTATTTCCGTCTGCCACATGCAAGAAAAAACCTTTGGTACCCAGGGTACTTAATATATGGGAATTTTCTTGAAAAAGATATTAAACAAGTTGCCTGAAACATTATTATGTAAAACACTGAAGTAAACAGAGTGAACAAATTCAATTTGAGCTAGATAAACAGTTGGTGAACATGGGAACACTTTTATCATGTTGTGGCAACTGTTCCTACAGTGGCAAATTCAACTGAGGTTTATTGAATCAATGTCTATCTTGTTGTGTACAATGTGCATAAGCCTTCCCCCCACTCCATGCCATGCACATTGTACCTCATGATATTGAGATGGAATGTTGACTAATATGGAGCCTTGTTCACATTTTTTTGCCAGGCCAAGTTTTTCACAGAGAGCCGTTTGTTACAAAGAGAAGTCAAAATAATTCTAGAAGGTATAAAATTAATAAAATTCACACATTGTATATAGTTCACATATAAGAGTTGAATTCCAGTTACTTTTAGTTAAATTGCAGCTGAAAAACTAGACTCTTGAATATTAAAGACAAATTTTCGAAAACTCAATAACTAATGAGTATTATCCTTCCCTCAGGTGTATCCAATCAGAATTTCCTTGGGTCCATTATTCATCCAGTAAGTTATACTATAACCCTGGTGTCATATCATAAACTCTTGTAGTTATATGACCAGCTATGTCAGTGGGCAAGGCGAACCAAATCGTGCACTGTGATTGGCTACCTGAACGGGTAAGATGGTGCTATGTTGCCCGTTCGGCATAACGCGCTGTGTCCCGGAAGGAAAAATTTCCCCGAAAGCATAGACAGTAATAAATCCTTTAATGACAAAGCTCGTTTGGTCAAGATGGCTGGATATTGGCCTCGTTTATTTTTGTGTGTGTGTTTATTGACCTTGTCCTCGTCTCGGTCCATAAACAAGAACTTGGCCAATATCCAGCCATCTTGACCTCACGTTTGGTCAATAACCCATATGTAGTAGGTTTCTAGCTACATGTAGTTTACGAGTTTCGGATGTAAATGTTCATGAGAGTCAAACAACAAAAAACGTCGACTTGGTATGATTGCATGTGTTGTTTTTTCCCGAAATTTAGAGAAAATGTATCAGAACGTATGCCAAAAATAATTCACTCGTTCACGGGAAAGGCGAAATTAACACGCTTTAGGTAGAGAGGACAAACAACAGATTGTAAGCGTGTAACTATTCCCTTCGAGCAAAAACAAAGCTACCATTGGCCAGTCTGATAACACAAAAATATAACTTATGGCTATTGAATTGAGTTGTTGATTTATTACATTGTACATCCTTTAGGCTGGTAATATTGCTGAATTGTTACTCCGTGAGGGATTTGCCCGTTGTGTTGACTGGAGCATGGCAGTTCTCTCTAAAGGACATGACAAACTGCGGACTGCAGAAAAGTAAGTTGTGTCGTATGGCAATTAGCCTGCAAACAAGCTCTCCGGTCGGTCATTTTATCATAACATATACGTATTTCGTTTTTCCAGGATTGTTTTTTGAAGTTTTTGTTAACAGGTTTGTTGTGTTTTGTAGATTTGCCAGAGAAAAGAGGCTTCGATTATGGAAAGACTATGTACCAAGTGCGCCGATAGTCCCCATTCAAAACAAAGAGTTTACTGGAAAGGTAAGTGAAGACGGTTATGCAGAATATTTCAAGTCCCTAGTTTCCTTCCCAAGAGTGAACTGGATTTCTGTGCTAGTCGGAATAAGCGTTGTTCATATCAATTAAATGGCGCGACGAAGGGGAAAAAAACTGCATTTCGTGAATAGCTCCCGGCGGAGGGGGGAGGGGGCGGGGGGCAGGGGGGGAGGGCAATCCCAGAAAAATTTTGTGCAGGTGTGGGGCCCGCTTCCCAAAACCCTTACTCTATTTATGACCAAAATCTGCGATTTTCCCTACCCTACTTATGACCAGACCACAGTTGCCCTAAACATAATTTTTGAAAGGTTTTTGTATGTGGTCTTATCCATAATGATGAAAAAGTAGCTTCTTCTAAACAACACTACCCAATTCAAGACTAGAACTACAAAAACCATACCCTATTTAAGACCGAAATGGTCAAAATCGATACCCTATTTATGACCAAAAAGGGCTAAAAAGACTATACCCTTTAGGGCCGCACATACCTATATAGCCCATATAAGGAAGTATCCCCCCGGGGACGACGGTAGCTCTTGTTTTTGGATACAGCGTAAAAAGCCTTCCACTTACTTATAATTAGTGGGCTAATTTATTCACAATAACCTTTTCCTGTGCCGAGATTACTTCCAAGCTTTTTGCTCATAGGTTTATCCACAGTTTTCGTCCTATCACCGATGGTCAGGAGCTGTACATACCTTCACAAGTAAAGTCTTGTCCACTCCAAGTTCCANGCAAAACTAAATCCGGAACACAGCGATAAATTTGAAATAAAAACTTTAAAAATTAGTCATCTTGGTTCACGTCCTCCAGACGACGCAAAATTTAGTCATTTCACGTCGTTGTCTTGCAGAGGACGGCAAAGAAATGTACCAAGAATTATAACGCACGTGCGCAGCCATTGTACTACTCGTTAATTCTTTTGTTCAGTGACATTCCCGTCGCCGTTGCCGTCGTGGTTTCGTAAACTCCCCAGTATCTCGGACTAACAGCACTGGAATTTAAGTCACGCAAAACACCCGTGCACTGTGCGTCACGGTTTACGGCAAAGGTTCGAATCGTGCTTCATGAATGAACAGACATGTTTTCCTTAACATTTCTATTCACCTAATAATTATTATACGTTTTATGTGCAGGTTGTAGAATGTGTAAATGCGGATGCTTTGGTCGTTAAAACTGCAGATGGAGTACAAAAGAAAATTCATTTCTCGAGCTTACGACCGCCCAGGTACTGTAGCTGTAATGAACTGAATTCACTTGCATATTTTTTGGTAAATGTATTTTTTTTCCCCTGAAATACTCAAGGATCTTTCAAGTAAAATCGAAGCTGATTTCAGATGCTACAAGTAACATGCCTGATATACATGTAGCGCTAATGATCGAACCTTACGCTGCTGGCGTTTGTTAGTAGTACAATGGAGAGGTTATAAAGAATGACTTTTGCGGCAAAAATTAAATCTTTGACTTCTGTCTTTAGCCTTTTGTACATCCAAGTGAGAATATTTTTGTATTTGTTCTGAATAGGAGATTCTATGTCTGTTTTTGAGTTGCACTGATTTAAGGACTAGAGGAAATGAAAACATTGTTTTGATCTTTCGGTGTTGTAGGTTAATCCCCAAAGAGGATGGCACACAGGTATGGTTAGTGATTCGTCAATCAAATTGTAGCGCTTTCAGAAACGTCTTTGTCTTGTTTATAGATCATTTATTTTTTTTTTTTACGCTTTACCAAGTTGGAAACTGTGGAGTTCAGGACCTTCTGCTATCCAATGTGGCAACGCTCTTAGCGCGGTTTAGTGCTTTGTCACAATCGTTACTGTATTGTAGCAAGGTTCGTTTTTAAGCTGAAAATCAATCAGGATTGTTTTTATTTTAAAAACTGCTAAGAGGAGGAGAGATGGTCAAATGTTTGTAGAGTGACAATCCCTGGATGTGAGAAACCCACATGCTTCTCTTCAAACTATTCTGTAATCCTCATTTTGTCTGTCTTGATTTGTTGCACAGGACACTATCACGAACGCTAAAGATAACAGGAAGCCCAGACCATTGTATGATGTTCCTTACATGTTTGAGGCCAGAGAATTCCTTAGAAAGAAATTAGTCGGCAAAAAGGTAACGAACACCTCTTCGTCTTAGTTAACTCATTTAGAGTTTTCGGTAAATTATCAACTTGATTGCCACTGTATGATAACCGCTGTAGCGAATTTAGCAAAGCTGGTGTTTTCATCGTTAGTTCTTCGTTGGAGCAAACTTGCTGAGTGAAAATGTTGGAAGTAATTGTTACTTTCATGCGTTACCCCTCTAACTCCAACAAAAATGCACTTACATGTGCAATACCGTGACATTAGTAGTGACGTTGAGTTCAAACTTTGTCTTTGTCCGCTGCTGTGTTGTTCTTAGTGTCATTTCAAGGTAAAACATCCACAGCAATCCCACAGCAGTGAGCGCGCACAACACACTGAGCACGCGCAGTACCTGCCGTCGTTCACGCCAAAACTGCAGCTTAACGTCTCAAGTTTCCGAAATCCATCAGTTCCAGTCCAGAATTAAGACAGTCATCGGCACAAATATTGTGCACTGCATACACATTGATAATTTAACAACTATTATCCACTTAGTTTATCTGCTCGTAATTTGATTTAACCTCTGCTCGTTTTAAAAAGTTTTCTTAGAAAAGACCTGCACATTCCCGCTTTATATTCTTACAAAGTTCGAGGCAATGAAAAGCGGCGGAACTGAAGTGGCGTTGATTTTTTTGCGTTTTTGAGTGTGAAATTGTGCTTTAACGGTAAATTTTATTCCGAATGATAAAGTTACTACCCTCTGTCCTGATTGCGCTGTTCTGTTCTCTTTATTTCAGGTTAACGTTAAAGTTGATTACATCAAGCCTCCAAGCGATGGTTTCCCTGAGAGAACATGCGCTACAGTGACTATCAGTGGTATTAACATAGCTGAAGCTCTGATCAGTAAAGGATTCGCGACTGCGCTACGGCACCGGCAGGACGATGATCAGCGGTCTTCATGTTACGATGACTTGTTAGCAGCCGAGACGCGTGCAATTAAGAATGGTAAAGGATTACACAGTAAGAAAGAATCACCCATACACAGAGTGGCAGATCTGTCTGGGGTGAGTTAGTGAATCCTTGAATTAACAGTTGCCTTGACTCTAAACCAATCCTCAGTCTTGTGTGAGTTCGTATGTTCGCGCTTTCTGGAAAAGGGTCTGGGGAGAGTATAAATGCGTAGAGTGGGATTGGGCGAGATGCAAGAAGTGTTTTCTGTCCCATCAAAGTGCACGCGTTTTACTTCTTAATATTGGCGCATTCAGCCTCACGCTGGCGTGAATCTTGAAGTCAACACTCGCTCACAGTAGTAGTTACCTACACATAACCAAATGTTTGTGCCCTTGCTATTATTTTCCTTTAGTTATCTCCTGTGTCCGCGAAATTTTAGTCAAACTAATTAATGGCACTTGACAAAGTAGTCTAAAGTATCTCTTTTATGATCCTTGTTTTCTGGGAATTTTCGGGCTTTCATAGAGATTTACTTAATTCTTGACGCTGTAATTGCATTTTATTTTAGGAACCAACGAAGGCGAAACAATTCTTACCTTTCTTACAACGAGCAGGAAGATCTTCAGGAATAGTTGAAGTGAGTGATCGTATAAACTGTAGTTTATGGAGAAAATTCGGATTTTTATCTCCAGGGGCCCGTTTCTCGCAGGTCCCAGAGAGTTTTCACACCCGAAAAGCCGTAACAAAATCTCAAACCTTTTGACTACAAAGCTGTTTTATTCATATATTCTAAATGTGAACAGAGGTTCTCTTGATACAAGAAGTTTCAGGCGTTTACACCTCGCTGTCTTTAAATACCGATTGTTTAAAAATGGCTTTTCGGTCCGAAAAGATCCTGGGGCTTTCGGGAAACGGGCCCCTGGGCTGGGTTGCCCAAAACCCGGGTGACGCTAACCCAGAATTTAAGTTAACCGAAGTATTAATTTATAAAAATGTTTTTCACTGCTTATGTTCTGTGTGGTTTGAGATTATTCAAATTCAAAGCTGAAGGACAAACAATATAAACAGAAAACCTCACCGAAAAGTTGCAAAACCTGATGTTCAATACTCACATCGTTTAGTTGCTCTTTCTCGCAGTTTGTTGCCAGTGGTTCAAGACTAAGATTGTATCTACCAAAGGAGACTTGCCTTATCACTTTCCTTGTTGCTGGTAAGTGATCTTCAAATTCCTACCATTCGTAGTTGTGTGACGGACAGTTCACCGAGCGCGGATGAACTGCGCTGATCTCGTGGCGATCTCTACGTTTCGTCTGGCGGCATGCGTTCGTTCATTTGGAGGACTGGCAGGGCTAAAGCTCGTCTACTCATGCGCGCACCCCTCCCTACCCGGAAGAAACTGGCAGTTGATGAGTGATGTGCAAACAATTTAAGACAATGCTGTAGCTCAACCGAACAGTGACAAAAAGGATCACGACGGAAGCAAATTTTACGTTTTAAATTAATATTTCTTTCCGACTATCCTGTATTAACATTTCGCCTTCTTAATTTCTGCTGGTTCTTCCGCATGTCGGTCTGTAAGTTCAATTGTTTACTTCTGTTTATTTACTCGTGTTTTTAGGTATCACATGTCCTCGTGCTGGTAGAATTGTCACATCACAAGGAATTATCGCTGCCGAAGGAGAGCCGTACGGTGATGAAGCTCTGAGTTTTACCAAGGATCTCTGTATGCAAAGAGAGGTAATTAAACCACCATGAAATGGGGTGTTAAATGAAACAGAATTTCGAAACTGAACGAGATTCAGTTTGATATACTGATTCTGCCGAGATAAACTTATTTTGAGCGTTTGTGTAATCATGGTGTTTTTGGCACATGTATTTGTTTGTTTTTCCTAACAACATATTAGGTTGAAGTACAAGTTGAAGCAATTGACAAGGCTGGTAATTTCATTGGTTGGTTATTTGTGGATAACACGAATCTTTCTGTTGCACTGGTCGAGGTAAAATGAATCTTTCCTCTTCTTAGCTCTTAGAGTACTGAGTTCGCAAACAGTAAATTTCTATTACTCATTACTGTGCATTTGCTATGATATTTTACAATTCCTATAACATCGGGTTTAAGAATTTAGTGATCCATCAAGTTCATAAGAATTGTTTGTATCACCACATTATCTTAGTGCTTGTTAACATGTTGGCTTGGCTGCTGGTCGCCATGATTCCGGCGGAGAGCGTTATCCGTCCTTTGAACAGCCTGAGCCAGGAAACCTTGTATCTTGTGATGAAATGGTAGAATTTCGCAGTAACTATGACAGTTAGCACTAACATATTCTTGCAGTGACAGAATTAACTGTGGACTGCTTTGAACGGGGCTAGTATGGCGTTCATTGTTTGACATACCTTTGTTCTGTTTGTCTGTTTGCAGGCTGGTCTTTCACAAGTCCACTTCACAGCAGAACGCTCCAGTTATTATCATCAGCTTACACAGGTTGAGGAACAAGCAAAATCACAGAAACTTAAGGTACTTGTACTCCAGCCTGTGTCAAGATTTGAAATAGAGTACAATTTGAAGTAGTTATCGAGCGCAAGTGTAGAAATTCATCCACAGTACTTGAGCGAGAATATAGAGAGCAAGAAAATGGTTTTGAAAAACGTGTTGCTTTCAGTTGGTGGCGAGCATCAATTCTTTGAAGGACTGATCTTCATTATGATGCATCCTTGATAATAGTTGTAAATTGCGCTGCGCCATTTAAGTGCTATAAATGAAGAGAACTAAGCGCGCGGTTTCCTGAAGGGATGTGCGCTATTTACTATCCGGGAAGTGCTCGTGCTTAGTTTTGATTGGACAATGAGAATCGGAAAGTCTTCGGCTTCTTCGAGGATTTGTCGAAATGGCGATTTTGTTTCATGAACTATTTCGAAGGAAAAAGTCGCCAAGCGACGCCAGTTTCAAGAGTGTGTTTTTTTAACGCCAGTTTTTTCGTTTTCAGTTATGGGCAAATTACGAAGAACCTAAAAATATTGTTGTCGTCGAGGAAACAGAGAGGAAATGCAATTATAAGAAGGTTTGTTATACTTGTAATGTTTAATAACAGACTGATGTTTCTCAGGGCTTTTATTATTTATCTTATAGAGTGCCTTATTCCCTGGTGTGTCTTGTTTACAGGTCATTGTCACAGAAACAAAGCAGAGTCTCTCGTTTTGGGCGCAACATGTTGACTCAGGTAAGCAGACGGACTCTTCGTGTAGCAAGCGGAATGGTTTTTCATAGTTGAAGAGACAAAAGATATTCATGTGTTGATGACAATGAAAAATGTAGCGCTCATTCGATAATTACAGAGTTTCATTGGCAGTTTGGTATATGCTGAATGCATTCTCTCTCTTTGAGATAAATACAGCTGGGAGTTTAAGACAGGAAATAGCGACCGAATTAATAAAAAGCGAAATCCCATCGTGCTTTTTTTTCATTAGGTGGCCAGCTAGAGAAGCTCATGGATGATCTTCATAATGAACTCAGCAGTAATCCACCTCTACCCGGTTCATACACAGCGAGAAAAGGAGACTTGTGTGCAGCTTTGTTTGTGGATAATAATTGGTATGTTACTGACAAGTTTGTCGACTCTATCAATAGAGAAGAAACTTACTCCTGCCGCTCCCCCCCCCCCCACCCACCCCTCCGCCTTTTGTATCCTTTCCATCCAACTGAGCACATCCCTCGTTTAATCATGTACGTCATCAACCTCGTTCCCAGGGTCTCAGGTTGGTACGTCATATTATTGCACTCCTCGCCGCAGGGAGGTATAATAGTGAGGGTATGTACTTTTCACCTTAGCAGTGATGTCATTTATTAGGGGTGGGGGCGGGGGGGAATTTCTCAGGGTGAAGGTAATTGCTTGTTACTGTAGCAGTGAAGTGGTAGCTCTTTAGTCACTTCTCCTTGCGCTGTTTTGTGTTCAGGTACAGAGCGCGAGTAGAAGGCGTGGCATCTCCCAAAGAAATTCATGTGTTTTACATCGATTATGGAAACGTAAGTATCGGAATGAACTTAACAGACGTTTGCGCTGCTTCATTAATTAAAACGTTTTGCCTGGTGGCTGAACTATAGTAGTTGAGGAGAAATTCTCACAATTTTTTGTAGTTCACATGCCATCATCATCAGTTAATTTTCATAGTCAGGAGTAGGACAGGCAGACTAAAAGATGCAGACCCTGTACGCTGGGCTGTGTTATACATCCTCACCTTTTGAATTTAACGTTTTGTTTTATTCACTGGTTTCATTATTTCACGTATATTGCAGAAAGAAGTGTTACCATTATCCAAGCTGTGTCCTTTGCCTTCAGCATTCCACAGGTAACCCAGCTAAAACTGTTCATTTAACTTAATTATTACCCTATTGCTCGGGTATGCAAATGGCATTCTTTATTTTAATAGACCCTTTGCAGCTGGGGCCACAAATTTTGTATTATGGGCTATAACTTAAAGAATGCCAGAAATGGAAAGAGCGCATCGAAAATACCAAAATGGCCAAGTTTGAAGCCCCAGGAATTAACGAGTAAGTTTATACCACAGTTTGAATTTTCGGAAAATTTAGAGGATTTGTATGGAAAATGTTGGTGGAGAGCAAGGTCTTGCTCTCCAACAACTTTTTCCAGACAAATCTTCTTATTCTTTCAAAAATTCAGACCGTCATAAAATCTCATTCTCTGATGACGGGGGCCTCAAACTTGGCCATTTTGATATTTTCGACGTGCTTTTTCCATTTCTGGCATTCTTTGAGTTATAGCCCATAATTTTATGAAAAGTAGGTCACGTGATGGCTTAGCTGCAAAGGGCCTATTTTGTCGCGCTCAGCACATCGGACACGACACCAGCATTTCCACGTTGCCTCCTGGCGCTGTGGCAGGCGCGGTCACCTAATGGTCAACGCCCTGGTGTCTGGATCGAGTGGTCCTGGGGCCCGTTTCTCGAACTTTTCGGGCCCGCAAAGCCATTTTTAGTTAATTGGTATTGAAAGGCAGAGAGGTGTATACGCATGAAACTTCTTGTATGAAGGGAACCTCTGTTCATATTAAGAATATGTGCATAAAACAGCTCTGTAAACATAAGATTTGAGATTTTGCTGCAGCTTTTCAGGTACGGAAGCTGTTTGGGACCTTCCAGAAACGGGCCCCTGGTTCGAACCCTGCCCGAGGACATTGTGGTGTGTTCTTGTGCAAGACACCTTACTCTCTCAGTGTCTCTTGCTACCCGCAACCACTCAAAAATGGAAAATGCACCAAAACTTGAAATCATTCCGTAAAAGCTACAGAGTGACTACAGAGTATATTTCAGAACCCCCGTTCTCCGTGGTAATGTTGGGAAACGATAAATCCAACTTCTGTCAGATGAGAAGTGTGTTTTGTCGACATTGCATGGGGGTATTAAAGGAGGTACAGAGGGACATATTACTGTACGTAAAGAATGGAAATTTCCTACACTTGTGACCAGATGTATAAATGGGCACTGGAAAATTTGAATGCTGGGAAGGAGATTAGCGCTGTTCGTGAACTGCATAGGTAAACCTGCTGACAGCATTTGTCTTGAAATAGTTTTATGTTATTTTCCACAGTTTTAAATCAACTCAGCACCTAAGAATTAATATTTATTCTTCTTCAGTTTTCCTCCTCAAGCACACGAATACAATATGGCATTTATTGAACTTCCAAAGGACGTAAGTAATGATCGTTGTATACTGCTCGTCTTTTTATGCAGCGATAATTCCGGATCAACATGCACCAGGGTCAAACTTGAAATATCAATTCTCCCTACTGGTAGCGATAAGTTTATTTTAATGGTAGTTCAGAGAATTTGGTTGTGCGTGAACAAAAATTCCTTCTTTGGTTGTTGATTTGTTATCCTTGGTAACTGTCTTCCTGCTAACATATTGATTCTATTTGAGGAAAACTTAGATTTGAAAAACTCTTTTACAAAATTTGATCACATAACAGACACTCGCGAGGGTATGTACACACAGTTATGTCATCTCATGGCTTTATTTTGTGAAAGAATTCGGAAATGGCTGCTTCTTAAATAAAGTATCCATGTCTCGTATTTCTTATATTTTCTCTCTTTCTCTTCCTTAGGTTGAGCAAGTTGCTGACGCTTTGTATTCCTTTAGGAATCTGATCATTGTAAGTATCTCTTGTTAAAAACACCGTATAGGAGTCCGTGCCATTTTGTTCTGTTTTCTTGCTGTTGAGATGAAGCAAACATAGCGCTGATTTATCTCTGTTTTTATTCTTCAGAACAGGCAGTTTATGCTTAATGTGGAGTACAAAACTGCAGGTCAGGTAAGCCAAAATGATACTTACATTTGGTAGTGCATTCACGTTTTACAGCGTTGTAAAACAATTCAAGCGCGAAGAAAGCTCGGTTAAAAGATGAGAGTGCCAACAGGTTTAAACCCATGACATTTTCTACAAATGCATCACCAGCTAACCGAAGAAGCTGTTATTTAGAGCACCTACCTCATAGCATAGCATATCGAGTTGGTTAGATAGTATTTCGTGTTTTTGTGTCGTTAGGATTATGTGACGCTGGTACAAGAGAATGGAGATGATATCGCTAAATCTCTGGTCACGGACGGTCTGGTCACTGTTGAGAAGAGGAAGGAGAAACGTCTGCAGAAGCTCATGGAGGAGTATTACCGAGCTCAGGATGGTGCGAGGAAAGCTAGGGTAGGCTCTTGCTGCTACATCTGAAATAGAAAAGTTATGACTTTCCCAATAACAAGTTTTAGCGAAAATATGTCAGAACAAGGATGATTAGCGGAATCTGCGTATGTTCCCATTCCCGTCTGCGAGCTCTCTCTTTTGACGGCGCAAATTTCCGCATTCGCTTTACACGCAAGTAAGTGAAAACCAGTGACTTCGCCATTGGACGGCGATTAAAGGTCGTACAGCTTGACAAGTATTACTAAAATGGTGCGCTTTCTCTCTTGTTTCCAGATAAACCTCTGGCGTTATGGAGATTTCACTGAAGATGACGCGAAGGAATTTGGCTACTCCGCCTAAACGTGTCTCATCTGTCGTAAAGAGAACAATTATAATAAGCACAGATGTTACTAGCACTGACTAACTGTTTATTTGGGTAGAAGAATAAGCGACTACGGTTACGGACCAAGAATTCTGTACCTGTGTTCGCCACTGTGAATTTGCTGCCAGTTTCAACTGAATAATGAAATGTCTATTTTTATCACTACTTACGGTGAAAGAGAAAACATGCTTGTGTGAAATTCACTTCGTTGTACTTTTGTTGTGCACGTAGAGAAAATTTGAACTCGTCACAATCGTGTCCGTGTTTTTCATCTGTGCTCCGAATTTCTATTTTAATAACGGTCGTAGAATGATTCAATTTCTTGTTCAGGCAAGAGTATTTTGTGAGTGTAGGAGAGAGAACTCACGTAAAATATTAAAAAAGCAAAGGAATGCATGTGTTGTTTTGTGTTTTATTTTCTGAACGCTTAGTACAGTATGTCTTCGCAACTCTTTATACGTGTGAAGATTTTAATAGCGGTCATCAGCGCAATGTGATTGGTTCTCCGCGACCCTATTTCTCTCGTAATAATATACCTGCAAAAATTTCAGCTTGCTGATTGGTTGAGACTTCAATTATTCCCAAACAGGTTCAGGAAGTTGGAATTAAATTTCTTGTATATTATTAGCAAGTAATAAGATTATTTTTCTTGTGCAACTTGGGATAAATAAGCACCCGTAAACATTTCAGACTACAAATTGCACGAGCCACTAGGGCGAGTGCATTTCTTTAAGGCTTTGAAAAATTTACTATTGCTTATTTAATCTAAAATTGGACTCGAAATCATTTCATCACCTCGCACCCGATTTGTATCACTAAATATCTCAAAATCGAAAAGCCTGATACTCGGGTTGTGGAGAAGGACAGATTTAACCAAAAATGTATGAATTCAGTCATCGAGCCAAATTTTGCTCGTTAGAGACTAAGAATGGTCAATTGGACCGATTTATGGCGAAAAATAAAGTTTTGGACTCGATGTCCTGTTACCAATTAATCATAGCAATTACCATTTCCCACAAAAATAAAAGTTTTTTTTAAATATCATAATTAAAAACATGGAGAAAAGCTTGCAAAATGGCTGTTATTTTCTTTCAAAACAGTCACCCGAGACCAAATCTCCACAATTTTACAAAGTCAGTCTCTTGAATTGGTTACTATAGTGATTGTAATCAATGTTGTGATTGGTGGATTTAATGGAGAGGACTTAAATTGATTGGCTCATGTAACTGTCCGATTACAGCCAACTCTCCGATTACACTGTCCAATTACAACTTTGCAGATTAATTAGAGCAAAATACAGCAGTTTATGCACCAATCACATTTGAGGAAATTGTAATTGTTATGACTAAGTTTGAATTATAAAATTAATAAAAAGTAATAATGCGATAAGAACTGATGTATCATGTTTTGTTCTTAACCGCCTGGCCTGGGGCGAGCACGGCTCTTAAACTGATCTTGAGTTGTAATATTGTGAAGAACTGGTTGTAAAAATCCGGTGAAAATTGTAGGGAATAACAAAATTAGCCCTTGTGCGAAGTCACATTAATTTTTTCCTCTGGTTTTCAAGTGTTTTACTTGGGCCAAACTGAAAGATTTAGCTCGAGCAATGTTTCTCGTGACGTCACCAGCCCTGTCACGACCATCCAAAATGGCAAGAATAAATGTGAGTGCTCTATTTTAAAGAAAAATAAATCAACGTTTTTTCACTTCTCTGCGAGATTTTGTGCTGAACTGGCTTCATGGCGGCCAAATCACTACCTTTGAGATGCTCGTTCATTTGCATCAGTTATTTTACGAAAAAAAAAAGATACAGAAAAATTAACTGACTTTCTCACTAGGCTCCTTTCTCACTAGGCTCCCGACAACGGCTGTTTCCGGGAGGGGACACCCATATAAAAAGGACGGGGGAGCTCTTCGTACCTTTCTGGGGGGGGGTTAAAAAGCGGTTTGGTACCTCTTGGAGTGTTAAGCCTCAAAAGGTCCACACCGGGAACTTTTTCGATACCTTTTATGGTATTGAGCCGAATAACATACAACAAACATTTAAAGCCACGCCCACAACATCGGACCTTAGTACCTCTCAGGGGTTCTTTTCAAAATTGCCGACGAGAACGGAGAACCTCCTGCTTTTTATATGGGAGTGTCTCTTCTCCCCCACCCCACCCCCGGGTGGCTAGTAATCGAGTCTAACAAGATTCGTCGACGGCACTGAGTCAAAACAATATTCCGAATCGCATCCACTAGGAGCCAAGGAAAAAATTTTTATAATATCACTAAATGAGATCTTAGTAACATTATATTGTGGATTTGTGAACACGCTTAGATTCTATGATGGGTTCCTGTATCCACCGAGTACTCTTCCGTAGGAGGCTTGCATGAGCGGACGTTCTTTCCGTCCAATTCCTCGAAATTCTTTCACTAACTTGACAATGATGCAAGGGAACGCAGACGAAAATACTGCCGGTAAATGTAGGATCTATAAAAGATCTGGTCAGCCAAGAATAGAAACATAACAATGAAGCAAGGCTGATTACTACGTAGAAAGCTTAACGGGACAATAACATGATAGAGTCCAAACTGAAAGCCAAGAATTGCAACTGTGGACAGCTGTTCGACAAGGACATGATACAAGAATTCACACAAAAGAGGACGAGGGGACATAAACTTGCCTGAAGAAGGGACATTGACGAACATATCCTCGCCCATGCCTTCCCTTCAATTCAACGGCGACCGACGCTAAAATGGGTGTGCCATTTCACTCATCTTTATATAGCGACATTAACATTCATTCCATCTATGAGAAATATGGTGTGCACAAAAGGATTGTGTGCTTTGAATATATAAGTAGTGCGAAAAGAGAAGGTTGTCAGAATGCTCCCACCTGAAAAGAATTTTATTCTGGTTTATTTGCAAGAAGGAATCGTTTAAATTTCGAGATCTTTCGATCGAGCCACGAGTGTGTTATGGGAAGCGTTTTTTGTGTCGCCTACTTCATATAAAATCAAGACGTATGAGCTTATATTAGCAATATTTAAAATATCATATGTGATTGTTGATGTTGTTGCTGTTGTTGTTGTTGTTGGTGTTATCCATGTTGTTAATTTCCAATACCTTGGAAATTGTTTTATTCGAAGAAAACTTGTTTATAATCCTAGTTTGAACTCACTCCTGGTGTCACGACACTTATAATTATATCATGTAAAGAATATTCGTTTCTTTGGAGAACAAACAATTATCAAGGTATACCTGTATGTGTTTTATACCTACTTAGCTCTAAGCTCAAATGTCGCTATAACTCACTGTTAGAATTCTGATCAAATTGTCTTAAAAGTTAAATTATCTTAGCATAATGTTTTCATTACGTCTCGGCTTTGGTGGGAAGAAAACAAATTTATTTGATTTTGAATACATCGTTTTTTACTGATGTAAAAACTAAAAATCTAGCCTTTGTAAGCCTTTGTCAACGGAGCAACGAGGGCCCCATAATCTATACATGTATACAATGAAACCCGCTTTACTTTCATTAAAACCTTCTTTGTCACCCTCTGCACAGGGGCCGGTTGATTTTGCGTAGAGTGGCCATTGTAGAAAGCTTCAAGTCCTTCAACTGTATTAAATATATTTTCGCTGTACAAGATTAACTTCAAATGGTGGAAAACAACAAATTATTTTACAGCGATCGAAAGTTCTTTTATATACGGAAATGAGAAGGATAGAGCTGAGTGTTATGGAGGTTTCAGACATTACAACCTCTTTAAGATGAACGCTTCCATCTTGCAAAGGACGCGTTTGATATTTGTATTAAGAATAGTTCAACTGTGTGTGAATTCTGTTTTCCCTGAAAGATTCTGAGACCAAGCCGGAGCTGTCTCTGATAAAGAGCTAGATAGAAGTGTCCTTATCATGGTCTCCCTAAGTAGTGGGGTTAACTGTAATAAGAATTCGAAAAGGTAAAAAAAAAAAAAGGATTATGTTTAAGACTGGGGCGGGCGACAGGTGATCAACATTTCACTCTGCTATAAAATAATGTTTATAATCGACATGCACAACTCCACTCAGGGATATTTTTGGGAAGTGTTTTCGATTAAAGAACGATGGTTATGATGCATGTTGCGTCATTAGGGCTCTGATGAAATATAAAATGATATAGGCCTACTTTACTGTATAAGATTACGAATGTGAGACGAAATGTAATACTGAAATTTAATAATTATTAAATTAACTGTGATAAGATTTCTTTCGGTCAGTCATAGAAATTGTTTCAACTTATCAAAGGTGTAAAAATTTTCACTAAATCATTAAACACCACGCTTTCGTTGCAGTTATCGTTTTGGAAGAGAGGAACGTAATACACTTTCATCCACTTTCATAAAACTTCATGGAAATGAAGTAACTGCTCAGTATTTTCAACAATTTTATCATGATCTATTCGCGCAGGAGATATTTAAGATTTGATCGCTTTGCGCGTCAATTATTTCCCTTATTTCCCGCCTCGCAAAAACAAATATCTGTTTTATTCGTCACTTATCAGATTCATCTCTCAAGTATAGAAATAAAGATCAGTTATTAGATTCGTAGGTGTGTAAATGATGTAGCATTAGTTAACGTTATTGCATTTATTTTTCAAAACTCTTTTTTTTAAACGTTAAGGTCTAGTTCTGATTACATGTGGTAATTATTCGAAAGAAGTAAACCTGTTTTCTTGTAACAACAGTGAAACCTAATAATTAGTCGTAGGGGCAAAATGTAATCGAGTGAACGATTTTCAAAGCGCGTTCTTTCATTATTGTTGAATTATTATTTGGAGTTATCGGGAGAATATCGTGTCACTTTTAATCAGACGAGAAGATCTTAACTGATTGAAAAAAGACTGAGTAAAATGAATTAACAAATCATGAACAAAATTAAGATTTGCCACAGACGGGAAATGAAGAAATCTTTTCTTTACTAGAAAATGAAGATAACGTTAAATTTCCTCTTCTCCACAGAACGTTCCCATTTTAGTTAAGGCTTGAACAAAGTGAGTTTTACTCCCCAAGGTTTTATTTTTATAAACTGCATAATTTTACTCCGCACTTTATTATTTTTACTGTTATTTTGACTCCCGGCCAGGACTTAATTATTTTTTTTCTCAAATCAGCATGGCCACCTCTCGAGAAAAACCTAAACTGATCCTCGCATTATATCATTTTCTGTGTTTGTTGATCCTGTCCGTCAAATATCTTCTCAATGTCTCTCCGATGAGTGAAAGTTCTTTTATATTCCTTACAATTTGCAAATTGCAAAGTCGAACGAAAATCGTTCATTTTAATTTCGAAAAATAGCAGCTACGTGCATATTGACTTTAAAATGTTTGACTTTAAAGTTCCGGTGCAGTCGGAAATCAAACTGAGTTTTTCCTCCATTTTAGCCGCGAACCGGTTGTCTTCTATAAGTTGTTTACTTTTCGGCACGCTCATTAAACTTTTTTGGCGAAGCATGGCTTTTGAAAGGCTAAATTGTCCTAAAATGCTGATTTACAACTTTGCGCTCTACGCCTAGCTCTCTAGCGGAACGTGAATCATAAAATTTTGTCAGTTCGTTCAATTTTTTTTTTTTTTAATTGTGTAAAAAAACAACACCTTCTTGGTTTTAATTTAATTTATTTTAAAGTTGAAAGGACCTCAAATCTCATTCGCGAAAGATGGATAGTTTAAACTGCGTTTACCCTTAAAAATACCAGATACCTGTAATCATCTCATAAAGATGTAATAAATTTACAAAACTGCATGCTTGAGGGATGGAAGTCAATAGAAATAAGAAACCTTGCTTTGACCGGCGTTTCCTTGTAACATACAACTTAATAGGGAAAACTTGAATTTTTCCGAGAAAGTTTCAGTTTGAATTTAAAACTCCAGAAGATCAGGTTTCACTTCAATCAGACAGGTCGATTGTCTTCAACCGGTGAAACCTTTCTCATGTTCCTTTTTGATATGCGTAATATTTTATTAACAACTTAAAAACAAATGCGTGGTAAAACCTCAAATCTAAATCAGGCAAAAGGTCTTCCTTTGCTGGTCGCGTTTCAATGGAAGTAAACAACTGATTTTGAAAGCCATTACTTCACGCTTCCTCTACATTCAATCAAAGGCAAAATTCGTGCTTGACATTGTGTAATTTGACAGTTAATGGTAATAACAAAAGCTAAAGGTAGGCTGTAGTTCATTTATTATATTTGTTTAGTGATGTGAAGTCTCTCAAAGCATTAAAGCAATTGAGCGTTTCTTCAGTGCATTTATTTCAAGTGTGTTAAAATTATTTACAACCACATACATCCTATTTTACCTTGAAATATTTCGTTCAAGACGGCAAGGTAATTTTCGAGGGATTAAAATGATTTCCCGCACATTTTACAGTTAGCAAGTGTTAAATAATGAATGTAATGGTGTCGGATATTTATTCGACATGACAAAATTAAAACCTTTCTTTCAACTATTCACTTCCCGTAAGCTTCGTATTTAATTAAACACATAAAGAAAGCCAGTTTTTATTGACTGCAGTGTGTTCTGTTATTATTATGAGCAATTGAATTCTCTCTTGGAATTACAAACATAATTGTTTCTAACTGGCACGTCTAAAGATTTTGATATCACTAATTGACCGAAATTTGTCTTGAAAAAAGGTTCTAACGAGCGCCATTTTCTGCTTGAGTAGGTGCTGATGGGATAAATCTCATAAAAGAAATTACACACAACTTTCCAGCTCGGGTGGAACTCATTTGAGCTATTACGCATTTAATTTGAGAATGATTCCCACATTTATAATCTTCAGAAATAATTAAATAGAAATCTAAATTTAAGCATATATACATCTTTAACTGTCAATCATGTAAATGAACTTGTCCGTGAATGAAAACAAAAGCGCGTGATGTATAGAATTGACACTCCTCTAAATGGTCGAACTCTTAAATGTGATTGCAAACTCCCCGAAAGCTCATTTGCAGTGAAGCAAAAACAGTGTTGACACATTGTTCTGAAAACAGAAAACGCCACAATGTTCTTCTCGCAAGATCCGATGCTTTTATACCCGCAATCTCCGTACATGCAAAACCCGGCCATACCTCGTAGTCCTCCAAATCGACCTTCGTTTTTAATCGATGATCTCTTAGTCAGAAGGCAGTCACCTTATTTGGTGCCAAAACAGCCACAGGATCATGGACACGAGCCCGCTCAAGTTTCTGCGAGTAGCAGCAACACGTTCAACTTTGGAATGCCTACCATATTTTCAAGAAGCCGCAAAGAACATACGTCAGTTTATCAAGGTATATACAAACTTTAACAGTTTCAGGCTCCTTACGACAACAGGGCGTGCCTATAAATTAAGATTTCAGTTCTCTTTTAAGTTAACCTAAGTTCATCGACACCTTGATCGCCACACACTGATGGCTTCCTTGCGACCAAATTAAAAAAGTATACATAATAATACCAATTCCAAGCGTTTAACAGGACGTTATTTATTACCAGAGTTGTGGGAAAGTTGTTAACGGGGAGGAAATCAACGAAATTTGAGCCGTTAATGACAAAAAGCAAATACCTGGCGTAAATTAATCGGTATTACTTCACGTTTTCGTCATAAGTACATTTCTACTTTGAGCTGGTTTCTTGGTCAACACAGTTATTCATCTGCCTTCGTATTATCACACGTTTAATCCTGGTTAGTTACGTATTTTATCTTTAAAGATATGAAAGTAAATTGATTAAATAAGAACGCTTAACTAACCGGCGGAGAGAAACAGCTATGAGGTTGATTTTAGCAGCATTTTTTCGACCAAATTTTGAGACTCGTTCCTTAGTCACCGCAAAAAACAAGCGATAGTTTCCAAGAGGAAGACATAAATACATGAAAGCAATAATAATTAAAGAGATAAATGAGAACATCTTGCTGCTACAATTGCTCTTAGGACTTTAACACTCACGGCTCAGGGGAATGTCTTTTTCGAACTGGTGAATTTCAGCCAGCAGAAGACAAGCAAATAGGAACGATTTTTTGCTCAGAATGTAAACTGATTCCTCTTATCGTTCGTCGCGATTAGTGGTATTTTTTTCTTAATTTAATTCATTTTGATTTTGGTTTGACCCTTTGTTTTCTAACGCATTTCAGATCCGAGCCCCGAGGTTCTAAATTCTCTCCCAGTCTACTTTCGTCTAAAGCCAACGATGAGAACTCCGAGCGGCCGTAGATGTCGTAAATCTCGCACAGTCTTCACCGATCTTCAGTTACGCATTCTCGAGAAAACGTTTTCCGATCAGAAATACCTCGACACCTCAAGCCGGGCTAAACTTGCTCAGACTTTAGGCTTGAACGAGACGCAAGTAAAAACATGGTTCCAGAACAGAAGGATGAAGTGGAAGAAAGATACGAAACAAAGCAAACCTGCGGGAAGTATGGAAGGAGACCGCGCACACACAGAAAACGATAATCGAGAGATTAAAAGGGGCGAAGAAGAAAGGGAGATGGCGAGTGAAAAAGTGTTGGTAAAACGAGAAGACCAGCCCTAACTAAGCTTTTAAAACCGATCGCAGAGGAACTAACACCTATCAAAATACAACTTAAATATAACTTAGGTTTGTAAGTTGAGACGCTGCGAACTTTTTTGTTATAGGCTTGTCACATGAATCCAAAGTAGAGATTATTTTATCATCTGAATATATCAAAGTTCAAATCGTGTTTCAAAGTCTAAATGACTTAGCAGGCCGACACTTAAAAGGTTTAGTTTGCATGGCACATGAAGCGACAAAGTTTTGGCTGATGGGATGTTTAGGAGAAGTGCAAATCAGATCGAAGGTGAAGTGAGCTCGAGTATTTTGCCAATCAAGAGAAATTGCACATGGGCGTGGTCTGCACCATCAAAGGAACGGCCGGTTTGACAAACGACAGACAAGAAAGCGGCGTCCTTAGCCCTTAAACAACAGGGATACACAACAGCCGTTGCCTTCAAATCAGCCTCAGATCGATTTGGGGCACGCATTCTTTTGCTCAACGGAGTTCAACAACCATTGAATTTAACCATGGATTCCGTACGCTCTTCTCTCGAACTCACAATATTAATTTTAGTACCGCCTATAAGCTGTAATTTCCTCTCCTTATTACATTAGTAGAGCCACTTTAAAGCAAACATCACAGTTACTAAACATTTCACGACAAGATAATGGCTGCTTCGGAGTAAAGCGTTGGTGTCAAAACCAACCATTCAACCAATATCAATTTTTCTCTGCTTATCTTTCAAGTCTTTCATTGTGTCGAAGCAGGAAAATAAGACACAGCTGCGTTATTATAAGCTACAAAAAAAAATAAAATATAGATTTGGAAATTAACAATAATTTCGTTAGTTTTCTCGTGTCTAGTAGTAACACAAAGAGGTCAGTTAAAGACGTTAAAGCTAGCACTACAACCAAATTTTCAGTAAAATCTTTTGCCGTATAACCTACCTGTGTACTCAATTAGAATACGTTTTTGTTTATGAGCGTTAGACTAACACCTTGAGTTAATAACGAATGGACATATGAGGGATTTTAATAAGAAAAGAAAGTCTTAACTGATCGAAGAGGCTGTGTAAAGAGATTTGACAGATAATGGAACGAAATTAAGACTCAGTGTGTCAACTTGGTGTTTGTGCAGACGGGAAATAAGAAATCAGCTGCTGTTCTTTCCAACAAACTTGTAATTAAATAAATTCTAGTTTTTTCCTTCGCTTTGGAAAACTCCATTTTGTTAGGCATTTAATAGATCTGTCGATACGTAACAAAGACAACTTTAATCTTGAAATTTCAATACCAACTACCCCAGTTTTTTTTCCTACGCTTGACGAAGTTTTGTTCATTTAATTATTCGACTTTTTGATAAAGAGATAAGCAGTGTTGAGCAGGTCTATCTATATTAATAAATCAATAAGTAATTAGCTGGACTCAAACGCCCAATTATTTCTTCTCGTGATGACGTCATAGACTGACATCTCTCGCCACTTCATCCCACGAGACAGAAACTGTGCTGTGAATCCCGGGAGGCGGGGGGGGGGGGGGGGGGGTACTCCCTTGTAAGAGCTATATAGGTATGTGGGGCCTCAAAGGGTATGGTTTTTCGGCTGTTTTGGTTATAAATAGGGTATCGATTTTAGCTGATTTTGGCCATTTTGGTCATAAATAGGGTATGGTTTTTGCACTCTAGCCTTGATATGGGCATGTTTTTAAGAAGAAGCCACTTTTTCATCATTATCGAAAAGAAAATCAACAAACGCCCTTCACAAATTATGTTTACGGTAATTTAACATTGGCCTAAACTAGGGAACTAATTATAACGCAGGTCTGAAACAGGGTTTTGATTTAAGGGTTAGGTCATAAATAGGTTTTCGAATTTTTGGTCAGGTCATAAATAGGGTAGGGAATATCAGTCGCAGATTTTGGTCATAAATAGGGTAAGGCTTTTGGGAAGTGCGGGCTGCACACCCCTTCCCGATTTTTCTGGGAGTACACTCCCCCGGCCTGTGAATGCATTGTAAAGGATCATGAAAAATATTCATTACTAGTCCCAGATCCAAAACATCTTTAGTGACGCCCTTCCTGGCTAACAATGTTTTCGATCACCAGCTTTATTTTAACTATACAGTGGAATCCCGAGTTTTCAAACCCCCAAGGGAAACGAAAATTTGTTCGAAAAATCGAATAGTTCGAGAGATCGAACGGTAAAATTACAGCGTTTGACTGAGGAGGGGAAACGACGTTTTATTCGAGTTATCGAGAGGTTCCAAAAACTGAGGGTTCGAGAAATCGGAACTCCGCTGTATGTTCTCGGTTTAATAAATCAGAGATTGATTTCGACAAATTCAAAGTTTTAGCTAGAGCCGGCGCAACCACTGTCACTACTACAACCGTAGCTCTAGTCCAGAAATGCCGGGCAGTGAATGGAGTCATTAATTACCTTCTGGAAGAAAAGCAACCTTGTAAACGAAAAGCTTTTACCGAAAGGAATTCGCTCCTTCTTAATCTTTTTTTAGTCAGCTGGCAAAGCATTGTTTCACTCGAGCAGCGGTTGGTATCTCCTGAGGTAATCAGCGCGGGAACCCCTCCCTAGTCACGCTACCAGTCTCCAAACTGTAGCTAAAGGCAGAGCGCAAAGTTTGAAACCTTTTCTCATTACGCTTAGCGTTCGTGTAACGCGCACGCGCTTGTTTAACGCGCTCGCGTTCTCCCCCCGAAGTCTCCAACTCTTTAATATTTTGGCGAGAGTGGCAAAACTTTCCTCCTCAACGGCCATTGTTTTTGCACCACTGCTCGAGTAAATGTCCACCACTAGTTGAAAAACAAAGATTCGATTTATTATATAAGGGTTTGTATGGGAACGCAACGGTTTGGGTTAAAAAGGCAATTATTTGTATGTTTTGTAAATATGATCTACTTACCCTGTTGCTGTGTTGTATTCTTTGTGGTTTGCCAGCTCCTCGGGCCCATTTAACACGATTTCGGCGAGTTATCGTTGTGTGACTTGTGTGGGTTTCGCTTTTATAATTAGCAGTGGAAACCCACACAACAGGTCACAACGATAACTCGCCGAAATCGCGTGAGATGATCGGCCTGAGGAGCTGGCCTGAACAACAAAGAATACAATACAACAACAGGGTAACTAGATTTAAATCACGATATATAAGAATAATTGACTTTTTAAACAAAACCGTTGCGTTCTCGTACAAACCCTTATAAATCGCATCTTTGTAACACAACACCGCTTATTCCAAGGTAATCTGATAGCGAGCTCGGGATGCCTGTGTGGTTAGGAGAAACTAAGAGACATGTTAAGGACTGAGTTAACTTAGAGCAGTCGACAAATCTAACACTAGATCTAAACCTACCACAGTTTCCGAACTCTTAAAAGTTGGTCTGATGCCTAATAGGCTTTACCATCTTTAAAGATGACAATGACGATCATGACGGCGATAATGATGATGATGTCTGAGATAAAACCTAACTACCTGTTTGAAAAATTTGTCAACGGCCTGTCACCTTATCCCAAGTTGTGTTGCAATGGATTGCGTATGAAATCTTTTGTAATTTTCCTCTATACCTAAAGAAGGATGGTGGCCAGCCGAAGTCTTGCAGTGTAAAAGCAAGTAATCTACGTTGTGTCGGGCTAACTTAATTTTTCGTGTTCATCTTCAAAACTGTTACTTAGCAAAGTTGCCCATCACGCCAAGGTTGCCCTTCACATATATTGATAGGATTACAGTTCACAACTGCTTTCTACCTCATGTTATTATGTTCTTACATCAACATGAGCTTTACTGCACACATGCAGCCTTCGTCTGTAAACGGCCAACGCTAAAAGTGGTAGCAGCGGGGGTAGCAGCACACCAGCAGGGGGACTAAAACCGAAAAATACATTTTTATGTTATACTGAAAATAACAATATCATAGATTTCATTCATTTATTTATTTATTTATTTATTTATTTATTATTTGGTTTAAAAATAGATGAGTAACCAGGATAAGACATTTGAAAAAATAGAAAAACGATCTCTGGTTAAACATTTGTTTAAAACGAGCTTTCGACTACCAGTCTGCAGTCTTTAACGAGTAATAGATAGAGAGCGCGAACGTTAAAATATATACTAAGAAAAGTGTGAAAGAAAAAAACAAAATTATAATAAAAACAATAGGAATGCTTGTGTGCGAGTAAAAAATGTTAGTGTGAGGTTCAAAATAAAATTGAATATTGTCTTGGTAATTGTTTCGCATTATTGTCAGCATGGTTCGTAATTGCTGTGTGCCAGGATTCCAAAGTTTT